CATCATTCATCTCAGGAAGCCCAGAAACAGTGCTTCAATCTGACAGCAACATAAGAAATAAAATAAGCTATATATTTAAAAATAACATAGGAAATCTGCTTAAACCTAAAAACTTCTAGGGCAGATACAATGTTAATGTGCTGTACCTGCTGCAATTTACAGATGTTTTCCTTAAACATTAGCCCTTCTAACCTTTTTACTAAGACAAGCTTTAATAGAGGGTCATTTAGCTAACTTTTCACCGCAACAGCATTAGGTTAGGCCCCTCTGTGTTTAGCCACAGTAATCTAGTCTTTAACACTAAGCTAGAGATTCTAACATTTCTTATAGTCTTCCTAAGGAGATCTAGATTTTGTTTTTATATATTTATGTGCCCTAACCCTATATTTAGCAGCTTTAACAAGTGTAAGGCCCTTTAAACTAGTCTTAGGATCTATAGTCTCTTTATCTAGAGTGTTAAGTCTCTTTCTTCTTAAGGCTTTTATTCTATTACGCTTTAGGGTTGTATTTTTACTGTTAACGCTAATTATGTCTGCAGGTTAACACTTAAGCCTACTAAGTGCATTAAAATTAATTTAGGTGTAGCGTTTGTTTTATGCAGAACTTATTTTATGCAGCGTATAACAGAGGGCAAGGTTTGTAGTCGTTTTTAGTTAGAAGAAAGATATGTGTAAATAAATGCCTCCTTTTATAGTTTCCTAAGAGAAAGGCGATATATTTAGCTAGGGCTATAATTAATCCTCTAAACGTTAAAGCACGTGACAGTGGTAACAGATTTAGCACTACAAACTACAAAAGAATAAATAACACTATCCACTCTCCTACTAGTATTGCATATTCCTAGCTACTGCCTTAACATGCGCTAGGCATAATTTATTAAACAAAAGCAGAGAATCGCAGCGGAGAGAATCTTAAAGCTTAAAGGCGCTGCTTAAGTAAAGATTAAGGTGTTACATTTCCTACATAACCTTAAAATTTTAAGGGATGTAGATAATAAGCATGCTAAAAAACTTACAACATTATTAAAAGTAAGAAATAAGCAAGATATTTTACAATTTTAAAGTTATGTTCCTACTATTATTAATTAGCATTAGCTTAAGGATGCTATTACAGTTTTAGGAATTTCTGCTAAGCAATTGCTAGATCCACGTGACTGCCTAGAGCTAGATTTTCCGGCTGGTTTCTAATTAAAATGTCTCTATAGAAAACACTAAATTAAAGCTGCTGCAAATATCTATCTAGACAGCTGCTAGGTTGTGGATCTATATCTTGCAGGTAAAGGCTCTTCCCTGTATAGAAATAAATTCTTACACTTTTAACTAGATCTTAACAACAACCTAAAAACTAAACTTATTAAAGAGTACTCCTTTAAAAAACAGCTAAATAATGGCGAAATATACTGCAAAATCTGTGAATACTAAATATCTAGGAACCTGTACTTTAAGAACTAGTAGTGGGCTTGTTTGTAACGTACTTCACGGGCAAGTTGCTCACACACCTAAGTCGCTTACTTTTGCCAAGACCCCACTAAACTACCCTTCCTACACTAATGCATTCCCCACAACACTACTTAGACGTGCTAAAAGAACGTTAGATATAGCTTACGCTCTAAGCTTTTAAATAAGACATAAAACTCTTAAAGAAATGTGCTATAGCTATATGCAGAGTCTTATAAAAGATAATAAATAACTACAGCACTAGACAACCTTTATAAGCTAATTCTACAGCTAAATTATAAAGGCTAGGCAATAAAAAGAAGTAGGTAATTATTAAGACTATACTTAAGCTATATGCGCAAGGAATTTCACCTTAGATAGCATTTATAGCTAATATAGCTAATTCTTTGCGCGCTAAGCGTAATCTAGGCTATGTTTACATAAACTAGCCTAGTATGTTTATAAAGTGTTATTTAGAGCTTAAAGTAATGTTTAAGCGTAAGTATAACTATAAGAGAGCCCTCTATAAGAGTCCTAGAGTAATTTAGGGCAGGTTTAGCCTTGTAGAGAATATTAAAGCTAAGTATAGCATCTAGGATAATAACACGTACAACTTTAGTAAAATAGAGTTTATAATTAGCTAAATATCTCTTTACTATACTTGCGCTTAAAACTTTACTTTAAGCTCTAAATAACACTTTACAAACGTACTAGGCTAGTTTATGTAAACATAGCCTAGATTATGCTTAGCGCGCAAAGAATTAGCTATATTAGCTATAAATGCTATCTAAGGGGAAATTCCTTGCGTATATAGCTTAAGTATAGTCTTAATAATTACCTGCTCTTTTTTATTACTTAGCCTTTATAATTTAGCTGTAGAATTAGCTTGTAAAGGTTGTCTAGTGCTATAGTTATTTATTGTCTTTTACAGAACCTTGCACATAGCTATAGCACATTTCTTTAAAAGTTTTATGTCTTATTTAAAAGCTTAGAGCGTAAGCTGTATCTAACGTTCTTTTAGCGCGTCTAAGTAGTGTTGTGGGGAATGCATTAGTGTAGGAAGAGTGGTTTAGTGGGGTCTTGGCAAAAGTGAGCGACTTAGGTGTGTGAGCAACTCGCCTGTGAAGTACGTTACGCAATATCTAAACACAAAGCAAAAAACTTAAAGCAGATTCTCTGTTACAGAGAGTTCATGCATGCATTTAATCTTTAGTTAGACATTCTAGCATTAAAATGGGGTATGCGATTAAGCACGTTACACAAAATCTTTGCTATAAAATGCTATAAGGTAAGGGTTTTTGCCACGTGTTTCTAATTACTAACTATGCTTAATAGGAAAATCTCTGCTACCTTAGGTATATTAAGGAAGTTTAGAACAAGATTCTTCTTAATCTACAAGCAAGGCAGAAGCTAAACAGAGCTAATGTAAAAGCCTTAGAGCTTACCGCTCTAGGCGCATGCAGGGCTAATAGGGAACATTTATATAGCTAATTGCGTGGCGGCAAGATTTTTAGTGCTTTTAACAAGCAAGAGCGCAAAGCTATGTAGGAAAAAGTGCTATCTATCTCTTTAGACCACTTAATTTCTTCTTTCTATAGCTACTTTAAGGATATAAACTACTTCTAAGGGCCTGTTAAGTGTGTAAAATCACTTTTAAAGTTGTTGCTAAGGGATTCTGTATCCTCTGCCCTCTTAAGAGCGTTTAGGGATAGGAATTAGAGAGTTAACTAATACGTAGTTTAGAAATCTAAGTCTAGATTTATACTTAGGCTAGGAGATTTATTAGATAGAGAAGATTTTGCACTTTAATAGATATAGATTATTGCTATGCGTTACTCTAAAGCAAAACTAGACTAGAAACCTAGCAAGGCAATCTTATGCAAGATTGCTGCTCACGCTTATTAATTAGGATTTAAGTCCACGCCAATCCTCAACTTAATGCAGGGGTCTGCTAATAGGCAGATTGCTCTTAAAGCCCTACTAGAGGCTCAGAGACTAGATCGCTTTAAATATAATGCTGCTGCCTTTAAGGAGTACATAGAGCAAATAGTTAGATTTTTTTCCACAGCTAAGGCACTAACAGAAGAGGAGGCAAGAAATATATATAAGGTTGATAATAATGGAAGGCCACCTAAAAGATGCGGGGTTCTAAAACCAAAGGACCACAAACAGGACAAGTTGTTACTGTTTTTAGATAAGTTGCACAACACTAATAAGCAACAGTATCCTAAGATAACGTCATTTTTCGTCCGCAGATCTGTGTACTTTGCCTTTTAGGGTAAACTAGCCCGCATTGTTAATCATAGCATATCTCACAGACAAACACAAACTCCTAAAGAGGAGATAGTTAAGGCAGAAGCCAAAGAAGAAACACAGGAATTTGCTGAGCAGCAGCGGTTCGCTTAGCTAGCAGAGAGAAGGGAGAGTCAGAGACAAGTTGAGCAGGAGAGGGAGAGGCAGGCTGAGGAAGGACATCTGGCTCAGCTATCCGAGCGGAGGCAGACTGAAGAAGGGCGGCTAGCTCAGCTATCCGAACAGAGGCAGACTGAGGAAGGACATTTGGCTCAGCTAGCCAAGCAGACACAGGCTGAAGAAGGACACCTGGCTCAGCTATTCGAACAGAGACAGACTGAGGAAGAACAGCTGGCTCAGTTATTCAAACAGAGACAGACTAAGGAAGAACAGCTGGCTCAGTTATCCAAGCGGAGGCGGGCTGAGGAAAAACAGCTTACTCAGCTAGCCAAACAGAGGCGAGCTATGCTAGAACAGCTTCTTCAACTAGCAGAGCAAGAAGAGAGGCAGAAGGAGGGAATTTCCAAGCAGCAACAGCTAGCTCAAATATCAGAGCAGGGAGGGGAGAGGCAGCAGGAAGAAGCTGAGCAAGAGAGGCAGGCCGAGGAGGAGAGACTCCGGCTAGCAGAGCAAGAAAGCCAGCGGCAAGCTGAAGAGGACAGACACAGGCAAACCGAGCAAGAGCTATTCGAGGACGATACCCAAGAGACACGTACACCTAATGGACGGAAACCTCTTACGAGGCCACAAACTAGCGGAGAGATACTAGCCAACCTATGGAAGCTCGATGGAAAGAGGCCACATAATAAAAAGCCTAAACCCCCAAGAGGTATAGGTGTTACACGAAAAGAAAACGACCGTAAACGGGTTACCCAGATTGACTTAGGGGAATTTGTAGAACCTATAAGTCATGCACAAGTAGAATCAGGTAAGCAAACCCACACACTGATAAATAACGCTAATCTAGTAAAAGGCGAGCAGCAGCAGGCCCAGCTAGCGGTACAAGACGAGCAAGAACAAGAAAGGCTAGCTGAGGAGAGGCAGCGGGAAATCGAGGAGGCGGAGAGGGCAGAGAGGCAGCGGCAAATCGAGGAGGCAGAGAGGGCGGAGAGGCAAAGACAAGCCGAGGAGGCAGAGAGGGCGGAGAGGCAGAGACAAGCTGAGGAGGCAGAGAGGGCGGAGAGGCAGAGACAAGCCGAGGAGGCGGAGCGGGCGGAGAGGCAGCGGCAAATCGAGGAGGCGGAGAGGGCAGAGAGGCAGCGGCAAATCGAGGAGGCGGAGCGGGCGGAGAGGCAGAGACAAGCCGAGGAGGCGGGGCGGGCGGAGAGGCAGAGACAAGCTGAAGAGGCGGAGAGGGCAGAGAGGCAGCGGCAAGCTGAAGATGCGGAGAGGGCGGAGAGGCAGCGGCAAATCGAGGAGGCGGAGAGGGCGGAGAGGCAGCGGCAAATTGAGGAAGCAGAGAGGGCGGAGAGGCAGAGACAAGCCGAGGAGGCAGAGAGGGCAGAGAGACAGCGGCAAGCTGAAGAGGCGGAGAGGGCGGAGAGGCAGAGACAAGCCGAGGAGGCGGAGAGGGCGGAGAGGCAGCGGCAAATCGAGGAGGCAGAGCAGGCAGAGAGGCAGCGGCAAATCGAGGAGGCGGAGAGGGTGGAGAGGCAGAGACAAGCCGAGGAGGCGGAGAGGGCGGAGAGGCAGAGACAAGCCGAGGAGGCGGAGAGGGCGGAGAGGCAGAGACAAGCCGAGGAGGCGGAGCGGGCGGAGAGGCAGCGGCAAATCGAGGAAGAAAGAGAAAAGGAAGACGATATCCAAGAGACGCACATAAGCAGAAGACAGGAATATCCCGCGAAACCACAACCTAACAGAGAATCACTTGCTAGCCTATGGAATCCCGACAGAGAGAGGATATATAGAAAGAAGCCTAAGCCTCCAAGAGGTATAGGTGCTGCACGAAAAGAAAACGACCGTAAACAGATTACTCAGATTGACTTAGGGGAAGTTATAGAACCTGCAACTTAGAGACGAGCAGAGAAGGATTAAGTAAAATTAGGTTAGTAAACCTATACTCTGCTGAATAACACTAATTCTCTAGCAATAGATGAAGCCGATTCCACTACTCCCTCTCCAGATCAACAGGCCAACGCCTAAAAAATCCCCATAAATTTCAAGATCCGCGAGAGAGGGGCATAGAGACCTGAACGCCGTCTTCTAGTTGATTCCTTAAAGCCATTGGCGGTAGATAAGGTAAAACAACTAGCGATAAAGTATATGAGAAAGTACAAAGGCATACAGATATATGATACAAACTTCTGTAAGTTAAACCCTCAGACATGTTTTGAGGACGTCACAGCAGACGGGACGAACACTATCCTTCTAATTCTGGAATCGGAAAAAGACGGTATTGAATTTCCATTCGCTCCTGGGACGAGCTCTGAGTCACAGACCAATCTGGCATCTAATTCAAAGGCTGAGCAGGAAGGTAAGGCCAAGCGGAAAAAAGGTCGCCTTGAAATTTAGGTGGGATATTCTCAGTGCCCGAACAATAGAGCTGTCGGTCATGTCTTCCACAGCTAGTGTGGTGACGAATACGAGGGCTGTAAGCACCGTGAAACTCTTTCAACCTCGCTCAAGATACGAAGGTCCTTCAAACCCATGCTTTTCCATGGATGAAGAGGCGTGATTAGGAATGAATCACGCCGCATTGTGTCATGCGTGGGGGAACTAGGTATTGGTGCACTGGAGGATATCGAGTTCGCACAAACGAAGATGCATTACCCTTGCAACGACTGGCTCATCCGAAGACACCGAACAAGGCTCTTTGGTGAGACCTGTAATCCTTGACGAATATGATGTCGGTCATGCATGAGAATTCCCTGCTCTGAGACATTGTGGAAACTTATTGATCCTACTGGCTCAGTACCTACTTGGCCGTTCTCATCATTCATCATTCCGACAGTTGGTGGGAGACGAAGGATACTGGAGGCTTGGGGATTTGATGCTTTACAGCGTGTGCCAAAATTTGAATCATACATGAAGCTCGATGCTAGCCAAGCTCTCAGTCTGGTATGAGGCTGAGCATCTTCAGCATCTCTTGTCGTTGTGGTCGGAGGAAGCATGAAATGCAAGGTGTTTTACCCGCTACTTCCGCGGGTTGAAGCCCAGAGAGGCTGATTTTGAGGCGGAGTGCATGGCCGATACTAAATTAGGAGAATAGAGATAGGATGGTACTCTTAGTCCTGGTCTGCATGACTTTAATCATCTTCTATCAACCAAGAAGACGCGTTTCGTATCTCTGCTATGACTAGCCTCTTGCATAGTCACATCCCCTTGGTCTGACTGCCAGGAGTGACCCCGCGGCTGCCGGTGAGTTGGAGTGTTCTGCTGGCGCTCAATGATCCACAATGCAGTATCCCGAGTGCTCTAGTGCCAATAGTGATAATTGTATGGTAAGTTGTAAGCAATTACTATTCTATTTGCAGATTTACATGTTGACCGTAGTGCCATACCCCTTTCCTGAGCCCTACGCGGAAGGAAGATATAGAGACGCGAAGGTACATCAAAGGAATACGTCAGCCCGTAGCCAAGGTCGTTCGACTAAGCCGCTTAATGTAATACTTGCCTTGTCGCAGAATAAGCTTGCTTGGTAAGATTTGGTGCTTCGCCGCTTCTATTTTCAGGAGGTAGCATGAACGGGAGGGCGGTGGGTGACAAGTTCAAGCGTCTCTGCTGGGTCTGCCCAAGAATGTAAATTCTTCTAGTACTCCGTGCAAGGGTACAGCTCCAGAAAGCAACCTTATCACAATGCAATAAGGAAATCAGTCCAGCAAACGAGCTGTCTGACCGGGTCGATTTCCGTAGATGGCGCGGCAGTGCATGATCCAGGCACCTCTGGGCAGCATTACAGGGGCACAGAAAAAAAACATATAAGAAAGCAAGCCGCCGCCGCCCAATCAACCTTACTCTCACTTTGCATCTCTTTTTTAAATATTTCTCGCAAAGACGTTACTTCTTAAGCTCCATATCTACATCATGCGGAAGACGCGATCCGGGAAAGGCGCCAATGCGATACGTTCAAAATCCACTCTTTGCCGGCAACAACCCGATCGTAGGACGGGTCCCGCTAGAAGAAAAGCCACTGTGAAGAGAGCAAGACTCGTACGCATATCCGATTATGCCTCAGAATTCGACCTTAGACGACCTGTTGCTACATATCCACGGTTTCAAGAGGCTTCATTTACTCACTAGGGGGATTTGGACCCTGTCGCCATTGCTCTCCAAACCAAAACGCTTGACAAGGGAAGTCAAGCGTTGTCGCCGATCCGCACGACAGGAAGCTAACTCCCGCCAATAGGACCTTGAGATGCTCCAGGGAGAGGTAAGTGAGGGCGAGGGGGTTATCAAAACAAATTATCCACCTCACACGATCAGCACGGACAACAATCTGCAAGAGTGGGAAGAGACAGAGAGAACACTATCCAACTATCACGGCCATTCTTCGCCCAGCGACTTAGGAAGGGCATTCAGCCCACCGCGTACGGAAGCGGCCCCGATCGAAGATACTATACATGAAGGTCAATCATTGGCCCTCCTCGGCTTTGCAGAAGTGACCGAGCCACCTACTGGGACATCCCGTGAGGCTTTAGCACGTGATGATTCAAACACGGAGAACATTCAATCAGTCGTGATCGAAATTTCCCACGACCGACTAGTTGAGCTTGACGGCGAACGAATAGTACCACTCCAAGCAGAGCATGAATTGCAAGGTATGAAGTTCTAAGATTCTGCTTGTTGCAATTAACGCGTAATCTAGAAGACCCCATTCCTGGCAGTTCATATCGGAGAACGCATCGTACGAGCAAGCGTAGCGAGCATGGGACTTTGATGCCTTGGGCATCGCGCAAATGCGAGGAGGAATTTATTACAAGATATGAAGATAAATTCGAGGCACTACAGATGACGTGGTTCAACGTGGCTAGCCTCAGCGGTGAAGACGGAACGCTGGAAGCCTTGTTTAATAAATTTAAGGACTGCTTGGTTAAGGTATGTGACGACGATAGGTTGGCTTCGGGGGCTGCTTCCTTCCTCTGGCAAGCGTGGGAGCCTATTACTCAGGCAGTAGAGTGCTCTAATGCATTGCCAAGCAAGGAGAAGGCGCAACAATTTAGCCGCCTCTTGTCCGAATTAATGGACTATGAACCATTATATGATACTATTATAGATGGGCAAGAAGAGAAAGAATGTGAGTACACTGACGACGAAACAGAAGATAAGAGACAGTAGATAGCCAAGCATATTACTCATAATTTATTTTGGGTATCAGTTCCTGCACAGTTAGGAGACCTGCTACTTGACTGTTACAACCCTAAGGAAGACACCTGTCGGAACGCCACAGCATAGTTTTTGAAGGACATATGCCAGTCAAGGAGGAAGTCAGTGAGCGGCGCCGCCCTACGGCGCTTATCCAAGTGACAAGATAGCCTCGCCAAGGACTATCACTAGATGCGATAGCCCCGGCCTGAGCTATCGCTCTCCGTGCCAAGTCATTATCACTTGCGATGATAGTGACTATCGGAGTGACCGCTCACGATGCTCACGACCGTCAGAGTGCTCATGGTGGATATATCTAGTAGGCAGAATCCCTTTATGGGACCCTGCGTTTAACCCTAACCGCCCCTTGCACTTACCGAAGGTCTTCGACCACTACGTTCGTCCAAGCCCCATTGGGAGTATAGTCGTCTGGTTGACACGCGCTGTCCTCGTCCTTAGTCGACTCCAAGCGTCATTTAAGGATACTGTGCAAGCACGGTACTATATTCTGTTACACTGTAATAACGTTACTATTTATACTTTTATTCTTTTAACTTAAGGCTTTAAGTATAAGTGGAACTTTAAGTTAGGCTTTTAATGGATAAAAAGAATTGTTAAAGTCAGTCCACCCGTAGCGAAAAACCACCCGTGCCGAAAAATTTGAGGGGTACTTTGACTTCGCACAATCATAACTCCCGCTTATATAGAGCTCCGTAAGAATTACATACAAATAATATTATATAGCCATTTATCAACGTAAGGAGCCCTTCAGTTCTTTAAAATACGTTTATGCTATTGATTTCTGGCCTGTTTCGCTCAGAGCCTTCATTTGTAGCAAAACAACGTTCCTTTACTGCACTGCTACTACTAAGCTCTGGCTTCTATATAATACTTATGAGAGGTGCTACCTACGCTGAAGAATCTCATGAAACTGCTTACAATTTGTAATTGGCTGTGTGTTGATGTCCGCGCGCAAATCTATTCAGTGTCGCCACCCTTGTCAGTACTTCCAATTCATGCAGCTTCCATTTCCGGCTAGCGTCTTATTGCCTTGTAAGCCAACCAGTGTATTTTATTATAATTAGCCGTCCCAAAGAGCCGACGCCGTGGCTAAAACGGCTGTGGCTGTGCAATAAGTCAGCAATAACGTGATGACCCAGTCAAAGTCACGTTCTGAAGACACCTCTTCTTAGCCAATCACACTTCGCATTGGGCTGGAATAGCTGTCCGCTTGAGAAAACGTAACTTTGACTCTGACTTACCTCTCTGCGTGTAAGCAATAACATCCCCCCATGCGTGGCGAAAAACCACCCGTGCCGGAAAATGTGTGGGGTACTTTGACTTCACACGACGATAGCCCTTCGCATACATCAAGCTTTAATTGATTGGCAGTGCAGGCTTTAAAATTTTCGCGTAGTGACGTTCCTGGTCAAGCCACGCCTTACCCCGCCCTGTAAGAGACAGAGGTGTCGACTGCCTTTTGCACTCTTTAAAATCAAGTCTAGCTATCTTCAATATTCATTTGCAATACAATACTTCGTTTTATGTATCTTTGAGATATCCTTATTAGTACCCTTCAAGTCCAAAACCGCTTTGAAGGAACCCTACTACTCAACTCGGCAATGTCAGCCCCCCCGACTACGGGAAACCCCAAGAACGAAATCTCGTGCGAAGACCTCTTGAAAAGCTTGCAAAACTTGAAGCTTGACGAACGAGTTGAAAATGCGAAGGAGACTTCTGGCTTCTGGAGGCAAATCCTGGTTGAAGCTGAATATCCATACGCACTCCTGGATTCATGCATGGAGGGAGAATACCACCATGTAAAAAAATACCTCCAAGAAACCAAAAATCCAGAACCCCTCCTTAATTGGGTTGACGAGAACGGGAACACGGCCCTCATATGTGCTGCATCAAGAGGAATGCCCAAAATGGTTGAATTGCTTCTAAAATTTGGCGCGGACATCGACGCCCAAAACCACCATGGAAGAACGGCTCTTATGGAGGCTGTTTTGTGGGGTCAATTGGCAAGCGTCAACTATATCCTAGACAAAGGTGCTGCCTGGCTAGAGGACAATGATGGAAACAGCGCTGTTGACTTATCCAAAATAAATGAACGGAACGAACGAGAAAGATGGGAGCGCCTCCAAAATGAGAACATTCAACGACCATACGTCTCCAACAACTATCGACAGCAAATAGCCGATTTGCTGGAGCCTGAGGAGTCGGAGCCACTCAAAGACTTCTCTACACAAATCGAAGCTACAAAAATTTGCGCCAATGCATTAGTAGTCAATAAAGCTCAGGCCTGGTCGATATCTACGCAACCCGAAATTGAATGCAATCATCTGGCCGACATGGTCTTCGAGGTTCCTACGAAGGGATGGGATAACGTGATGAGCCATATGATTTGGAAAGATATTACCCTACCAGCTCATATCAGAACATTGAAAAGTTTACTGGATCCAACCCTTTCAGGAGCATCATGTCATCACTTCGATAACGCAATTTTGTCCATCTGCCCAGTAAATAGGAACATCCTAAGACTTACTGCATCTGTCAGGGAATTCCTACTACCAAAATCGACGAAAGCTATGGCCTGCATTAAGCTTGATGGGCACCCGACTCAGTACACTATGAGCGGAAATTCACATACGACTTTGGGACCCGGGGTTATAACTAATAAAAATTGGACTTTTGAAGTTATGCGTATCGCGAGTCACATAAGACACGATTTTGGATCTGATCCGCGAGGTTGGGCGTGTCACGCGGAACTACAGGCCATAGCGGGGTATATCCATTGGTATCTGCCTCAGTTTGGAATTCCATGGGACAGAATAACGGAGTATTTTGTTCTTCCCTATTCGTATCAAACCAGCCCTCGCATGGTGTTGATCCTCGTGAGCCAGGAGATGTGTAGCGTCTGTCAGCCTTTCGTAAAGGCTATCAACGATATCACCTCGCAAAGATTTGGATTTGCTTTTGATGTCAGAAACGGGTCTCCCAATGGACGATATAGCGGACTTATGAGAAGATATGCGCTATCTAATATCATAGGGACGTCTTCCTATTTTGTCTGACGGCGGAAGTATGCAGGATTAATAGATAGCTGATATTTTCGCATATTCAAGTCAACGTTGACGCCGAGGATGAGTACGGACGGACGCCACTATCATGGGCAGCCAAGAATGGACACGAGGCGGTGGTCAAGCTGCTGCTTGAAACTGGTAAGGTCGACGTTGACTCC